AGGCCATTTTGGACGCCCTGACACCTCGCGACCCCCCCCCCGTCCAGGTCCAGGGGAGGGGGTAGGGGGAGGGGTCAAGTTACCCCCTCCCCGCCCGCAAGCCGTCTCGCTCACTCCCACCCGCCCTCCCAACACATACGTAGCACCCGAGTCTGGCCCGAGCCTCAGCATATTCAGCAGTCGTCTTTGGATGGGCAGCTGCTGGGGGCGAATCCGCCGCCGCCGCCGCCTCCGCCGTCGCCGTCGCCGCCGCCCGCCGCCGCCGCCGCCGCCGCCGCCGCCGCCGCCGCCCGCCGCCGCCGCCGCGCTGCCGCCGCCGCCCGCCGCCGCCGCCTGCCGCCGCCGCCGCCGCCGCCGCCGCCGCCGCAGCCGCCGCAGCCGCCGCCGCCGCCAAGTGTACTTTGTATTGTTACCTAACAGCGAAGACTGATAGGTTTCTAGTGGGGTCAAAAGAGAGCAGCAGATGACTCCACAGGGGGGTCTGGGCGGGTGCCGGACAGGGTGCCGCAGAAGTCGTTTTCAGTTCTTCGCAGAACTCCAACAGTCACACACTTCGTGCTCTTCGACCTCCCAGAACTCCATTCCCGGGCCACATTCTGAATGCCCGGAGCCAACTGTAGGCCACTTCGTGCTCTTCGACTTCCCAGAACTCCATTCCCGGGCCACATTTTGAATGCCCGGAGCCAACTGTAGGCCACTTCGTGCTCTTCGAGTTCCCAGAACTCCATTCCCGGGCCACATTTTGAATGCCCGGAGCCAACTGTAGGCCACTTCGTGCTCTTCGAGTTCCCAGAACTCCATTCCCGGGCCACATTTTGAATGCCCGTAGCCAACTGTAGGCAACTTCGTGCTCTTCGACTTCCCAGAACTCCCATTCCTGGGCCACATTTTCAGCAGGGGCAAGAGCACGACGAGGAGGAGGACGAGCAAGACCAGGAGGACGAGGACGAGCAGGAGCAGGACGAGGAGCAGGAGGAGCAGGAGAAGAAGGACGAGCAGGAGGAGGAGGAGGACGAGCAGGAGGAGGAGGACGACCAGGAGGAGGAGGACGACCAGGAAGAGGAGGAGGAGGAGGAGGAGGGGGAGGGGGAGGACTACCAGGAGGAGGAGGAGGAGGAGGAGGAGGAGGAGGAGGAGGAGGAGGAGGAGGAGGAGGAGGAGGAGGAGGAGGAGGAGGAGGAGGAGGAGGAGGAGGAGGAGAGGGAGGAGGAGGAGGAGGACGAGGAGGAGGAGGAGGAGGAGGGGGGGGAGAGCACCAGGAGGAGGAGAAGGACCACCAGGAGGAGGAGGAGGAGGAGGGAGGAGGAGGAGGAGGGAGGAGGAGGAGGAGGAGGAGAGAACACCAGGAGGAGGAGGACGAGCAAGACGAGGAGGACGAGAACGAGGGCGACCAGGAAGAGGAGGAGGAGGAGGAGGGGAGGGGGAGGACTACCAGGAGGAGGAGGAGGAGGAGGAGGAGGAGGAGGAGGAGGAAGAGGAGGAGGAGGACGAGGAGGAGGAGGAGGAGGACGAGGAGGAGGAGGGGGGGGGAGAGCACCAGGAGGAGGAGAACGAGGACCGCCGAGAGGAGGAGGAAAACGAGGAACCGTCGCCGTCGTCGTCGTCGTCGCCGCCGCCGTCGCCGCCGCCACCGCCGTCGTCGACGTCACCTTTTTTGTCGCTGCCTTTTCGTCGAGATGTTGTTCGGCCCAGAGATGCTCCTACACATGGCTGTTAGGTTGCTTTGCCGGGATATTTTTTTGACAGGGATGGTGGGGGGGTCCGCATCGGGTTGGCTGCGCATGTTCCGAATTTGGAGGCAGAGTGTGTTTTGTATTGTTTTTTTGCAAGGGATGGTGGGGGGGGGGTCGGCATGGACTCTGGTTGGCCCCCAGTCGCCTGGGGGAGGGGGTGTTTATTAATAGGGAACAGTGATCAAGACCCCCTCCCCGCCCGCAAGCCGTCTCGCTCACTCCCACCCGCCCTCCCAACACATACGTAGCACCCGAGTCTGGCCCGAGCCTCAGCACATTCAGCAGTCGTCTTTGGATGGGCAGCTACTGGGGGCGAATCCGCCGCCGCCGCCGCCGCCGCCGCCTCCGCCGCCGCCGCCGCCGCCACCGCCGCCGCCCGCCGCTGCCCGCCGCTGCCGCCGCCGCCGCCGCCGCCCCGCCGCCGCCGCCGCCGCCGCCGCCGCCGCCGCCGCCGCCGCCGCGCCGCGCCCCCCGCTGCGAGACCGCCGCCGCCGCCGCAGCCGCTGCCGCCACCGGTACCGCCGCCGCCGCCGCCGCCGCCGCCGCCGCCGCCGCCGCCCCCGCCGCCGCCGCCGTCGCCGCCGCCGCCGCCGCAGCCGCTGCCGCCGCCGCCGCCGCCGCCTCAGCCGCCGCCGCCGCCGCCACCGCCGCCGCAGCCGCCGCCGCCGCCAAGTGTAGTCTGTATTGTTTTTTGTCAGGGAATGGTGGGGGGGGGCCGCATCGGGTTGGCTGCGCATGTTCCGAATTTGGAGGCAGAGTGTGTTTTGTATTGTTTTTTTTTCAAAGGATGGTGTGGGGGGGTCGTCATGGACTCGGGTTGGCCCCCAGTCGCCTGGGGGAGGGGGTGTTTATTAATACGGAGCAGTGATAAACCCCTCCCTGAAGGGGAAACAGGAGGGGTGGAAGAGGAAACGCTCTAAACCACCGACGCCCAAAGGGCTGGTGGGATTAATCGTAGATCCTCCAGGAGCCCTCGACTGTCCAGGAGGCCCCCAAAACGGTCCCAGAGGGCCCTGGGGGGCTTCTGGGGCCCCCCCGAGACAGCTCCAGACAACCCCAAAGCGCCACCCGAGAGTCCCAGGAGGTCTCCAAACGTCCAATGGGGCCCATAATCCCCAAATTGTCGCTCCAACGCGCCGAGACGGCCTCTGGGAGCCCCCACGACAGCCCAAGAGTCCCCCAAGAGGACTCCCCAGAGCGCCTCCAGAAACAAAAATGGCCCCTTCCCTTTGTAAAACGTGCGTTTTTACATTATTCTCCTCTTCGGCGTCGACCGTGTCGAAGACGGCCCCAGGAACCGACCAGGTCGCCCCTAGACGGCCAAAGAGAGTTGCAAGAGGCCTCCAAGACAGTTCAAGAGGGGCCTTCGATTGTCCAGGGGGACCCTAAGACGGTCCCAAAGGGCCCCGGGACAGCATCCCCACACAGCCCCGAGTGGTACCCCACCCGACATTTCGAGCCTTCTTCCTCCCCAGAAAGCACCCTGGAGACCCCAAGAAACGTGTTACCCCTCTTGGGCCCCTCTTGGGGCCGTCTTGGGGCTCTCGTGGGCCGTCTAGGAGGCGTCTTGGGCTTTCTTGGAGCCCTCTTGGGCCGTTCTGGGGCCCCCTTGGGGGCCTCTTGGGCCATCTGGGCGATCTCGGAGGCGTCTTGGGCTGTCGTGGCGCGTCGGGAAGCCGAAGAGGCGAAAACGCCAAAATCCATCAAAAACCAAAGGGAAATATATGAATTCTGTTCTTGGGGCTTTCTGGGGAGTGCTCTTGGAGGCCTCTTGGGCTGTCTGGGGGCCATCTTTGGCGTCTTGGAGCGATCTGATCGTGTCCCAGAGGCCTTGGGGACCATCTGGGGGGCCTCTTGGGGGCCTTTGGGGCTCTTGGAAGGCCCTGACGGCGGCGCCCAGGAACAGAACCATCTGTGAATCTCTGATGGGAATTTGCCGGGGACTTGCCCGGGACCTGCTCCGGGTATTTTTCGGCCTCGGACCCCAGGGGCCGCCCCGCGTGCGCGAACTAGAACTATTGTTTTCCAGTTGCCAGAGATTTTAACACGCCTCTGGCTCGTTGGGCCGGCGAATTTTCCGGATGATAATCATTTCACTTACAATGGTATTATGCCTAATGGCAATCATGCTTTTCACAATGATTATACTAACGTTGGTCACAATAATATGAATACTACATCTTCGCACTCCGCATTTTTTAGTCATCGCACTCCGCACATACTGAACGTATTCATGATAGTGGTAAGCACGCTACTAATAATCATGTGCTAATACAGATCATACGAATAGGAATGCGACGATGACTACTAATAAACATGCTATTTGTAATACACGAATATTTCAAATCTACGAATGTTAACGGTCATCGTAACACTCGTAGGCATATTGGTAGAACAGGGCAGACTATCAGCACGAATCGTACGATCACTAAGAATACGAAGACATATATTCATACATCGACAGTCGTGAAACGAGTAATACAAAGATGATTCAGACGAATGATATGAATACTAACACCAGTATTACGGATCATACTAATAGTAAGTTTAATATGGTTGTCAGTAGTAATTCGAATAATGAGAATAACAACACGTTTAAATATAAACATATTATTGTTACTGGTAAAACGATGAGTAATGCTGTTAACGATTTACGCATAGTAATAGTTAAACCAGGACTTGAACATTATTTCCAGCAAGACTGATGATAATTCCAATAGTTGCAAGACGAATGCGAATAACCATAATGATATCATTAATCTTTGTAATCGTATTCGTAGTACTACGGTTTCACATACATAGAATGGTAATACTGGTAATACTAAACACGATGATAGTAATAGTCGGACTCGGACTAGTGATACTGCGAGTAGTGGTAACTCGGATCTTAACATTTTCATTGCTAGTGTAAGTGATACTAATATTCGTTGTGCTACTACAATAATAATTACACATATGTCTTGCTAGGGCTACTAGTATTAGTAATTATCATAATGGTAAGAAGGAACAAGAGGAGGAAGAGGAGGAGGAGGAGGAGGGGGAGGAGAAAGAGGAGGAGGAGGAGGAGGACGACGAACAGGAGGAGGCGGAGGAGGAGGAGGAGGAGGAGGAGGAGGAGGCCAGGGAGGACCACCAGCACGAGCAGCAGCAGCAGCAGCAGCAACAGCAGCACCGGGAGCGTTGCCCGATCGAGGGCCCTCTTCTCCTCGGGCGGCGCGGCCAGGCCTTTCCCGTCGCAGCCTGCGCATCGCGCGCGCCGCGCGGGAGGCCGAGCGCGAGGGCACGTGGGAGGCGTGGCGGAGGGAGTACTGCTGCGAGAAGGAGCCATCGCTGGGGGCGGAGGGGGGGGGCGGGAGCGGGAGGAGGAGGGGGACGCAAAGGAGGGGGATGAGGTTTTCATCCCCCTCCTTCTCGTCCCACTCTTTCTCGTCCCCCTCCTCCTCGTCCTTCTCGTTTCCCTCCTCCTCGTTCTCCTTCTCGCCCCCCTCCTCCTCCTCCTCCTCTTCCTCCTCCTCCTCCTCCTTCCCCCTAGAGGGCGAGAAGGAGGAGGAGGAAGTGGAGGAGGAGGAGGACCAGTGTAAACCCAAGAGCCATTAACGATGTTGGAATAAACCCTCCCTCCAAGCTCCCACTTCATAGGCCCCTACAACGGTTCATTTCCACCGAGGCAACCGCCTCGTTGGAAGACAACCGCTGAAGACCCTGAAGCATGCCAGAACATTGTTTTCGGTACTCCAACGCCACGGATTAACCTGAGTGTTGCGTCTTGACGATCCTGAATCGTGCCAGATCGTCATTCCTGGGACGTCAACACAGCGAGCTAACATAATTGTTGCACCCGCATAATCCAGAGCCCTTTCAACACATCATCTCTGGCACGTTGGTGATCGGACTCCGTGAAACCCTTGCAAATTTTGCAAATGAATGTGCGCGGCGCTAAGGCGAGAGCCACATTTTGAAAACTACCCGCCCTCAATCCGTGAAACTCATGCAATCTGTATAACGAATATGCGCCGTGCTAATGCGAGAGCCACATTGTGGTAACCACCCGCCCTCAACCCGTGAAACTCTTTGCGCATGCTTATATCGAATGTGTGTCGCTCTCAGGCGAGAGCCACATTTCGAAAACCACCGGTCCTCAATCCGTGAAGCTTTTTTCGCGCCGCGCTAAGGCGAGAGCCACATTTTGAAAACCACCCGCCCTCAATTGGTGAAACTCTTGTACTTTTTAAACGAATGTGCGCCGTGTAAGACGAGAGCCACATTTTGAAAACGACCCGCCCTCAATCTGTGCAACTGTGGACATATTTTTCCTTCAGAGTCATCAGTGATGAGGAAGTCTCAGGCGAAACGCCAGGCCCGCCCTAAAAACTGGCCTCGGGGTGCGACAGGGAGAAGTTATCTACAAGGAAAGGGAATGGAGGAGGAGGAGGAGGAGGAGGAGGAGGAGGAGGAGGAGGAGGAGGAGGTGGAGGAGGAGGAGGAGGAGGAGGTGGAGGAGGAGGAGGAGGAGGAGGAGGAGGAGGAGAGGCGGGCGGCCGAGTAGGGGCCTCCGCCCGTCTGTCCTCCGCTGGCCCAGGTTTGAGAGCTACTGAGCGCCCGGCCTGGCTCCGCGACAGGGCCCCGGCCGACCCAGGTCTGCGCTGACCCGGGCTAGCGCGCCCCCACGAGAGCGGCGTTCGGGATCCAAAGGGAGTCTGATGAGCGTTCGGGACGGTCGAGTGTTTTCAGGTGTTGCTTGGGAGGCCGTGCCCCTGGGGCAGCAGTTGAGGCAGCAGTTCCATGGCTGGTTCATCAGGTGAGTGCTCGGGCGGCTCCTGCAGCACTGAAGCTACTCCCTTGGGGCACAGCGCTGGCCATTGTTGTTTCTTCCCTACGGGAGGGAGGGAGGGATGTTCGGGCGGAGCTAGCACGAGGAAAAATATGTTCCAGAGCGTTCCGGAACGCTCTGAGAAGGCCGCGGCGCCCGAACTGTTCCTCAGAGCGGCCGGATCCAGAAATTCTCGATTTTTCCCTACCCGGTTTGATCCTCATCCAGGCTTCGTCTTCGGGAAGGGGATGGGGTGGGTGGGCATGCAGGGGGGGAGCGCTGGGGGGAGCGGCGGGGGGAGCTCCGCTGCGAGGAGGGGCTGCGTTGAGCTCCGCTGCGAGGATGGGCTGCGTTTGGGCCGGAGGGGGGAGAGGGCGACAGGCGTCGTCGTCGTGAGCGTGTGCGGAGCTTCACATCACCGCAGCTGGCCAGGATCTGGGGAGTTCTGCTGCGAGAGGGAGTCGGCGCCAGGGTGGGAAGGGAGGATGGGGCGGCAGGGGCGGGGTGGTCGGTGAGCATGCAGCCGGGGGGGGAGGGAGGGAGGAGCGGAGGGAGTAGCGGCAGAAGGAGCTCTGCGGCGAGATGGTGAGATGAGAGGAAGAGAGAGACGAGACGCTCCAAGGGGAGGGACGGAGGAACAGCGAGGGATGGAGGAGGAGAGGAGATTAGTGACTGAGGACCAGGGGAAAGGGTAGTGCGAGGGGTCCCCCTCCCATTCTCCATTCACTTTGTTCCTTGTCCTGCTCCTGCTCCTCCTCCCTTCCCTTCCTCCTCGTCGCCTCTCCTCTCCGTCCTGCCTTTGATCTCCCTCCCCCTCCACTTCCCCTCTTCACTCCTCCTCCTCCTCCTCGTCCTCTCCGTCCTCCTTCTCGTCCTCCTTTCTCCTCCTTCTGCTCCTTCCTTCTCTTTATTCCTTCTCTTTCATCCTTCGTTCTCTGTCTTCCTTTCTCCCTTCCCCTTCTCCCCTCTTTTCCCCTCTTCCTTCCTCTTCCTCTGCCCCGAGCGGGGTTGCGCTCGTATCCAATTCTCTCGCCACCGCCCTCGCTCTTCCATCAGGGCGACCACATGGATGCACACAAATGCTTCCAACCCGAGGTTGTTCCTTCCCATCCCTGCCCATTGCGGCAGTGGGAGGAGCATGATGATGATGAGGAGGAGGAGGATGAGGAGGAGGAGGAGGGGCAGGGGAGGAGGAGGATGAGGAGGCGGCGGCGGACTTGGCCGCGGCCGCCAGCCGCGACGGCACGGTGGCTGCAGCAGCAGGCCCCGACATGAGGAGACGGCGCCTCCTCTGGCCTGTGCGACCGGCGGGCGGCACGGTCGGGCCAGCTTGTGCCACCTTCGCCAGCTGGCGCGCGACCAGACGCAGCTGCTGGAGGAAGACAGGGCCGAGGCGGTTTTCGAGGGAGCAACACACTGATCACGACCAAGATGTCGCAGGGTCGTGTCGACGCCTATCTTGGTCATGATCCATGCTAGGCCCAGCCGTCGCTAGTTCGCGAGTATGATCCACGACTTGGCGCTGACCAAGATAGACGGTTACCAAGATCGACGCGACGTCTCCGTGTTCAGTCTCGGTCATGTTCCTCGTTTCTTCCCTCCAGCAGTGCCCCCTGCCAGCGCTGGGGAGCAGAGCTGCCCTAGGCGCCTCATAAAGGCACGGCGCGGCAGCTCCGCAGCATCGGGAGCTGCTGGGACGGCGTTGCGGCCATGCGCGAATGGGGGCGGGTTGAGCCGGCCCTGCGTGGTCGAGCCCGCACGCGGGATACAGTCGGGCTCCGGAAAGGGTCTAAAGTTCAAGGTAGCCCCCTGATGGCCACCGGGTCCGCCATGCCCATGACTGGCAGAGGCCGCGAGGAGGAGGAGGAGGAGGAGGACGCGGGCGATGATGCAAATCACGATCAGGGGAGGTAGGATGGCAAGAAGGTAAGTGAAGGGATTGAGGGCGGGAGGGGAGGAAAGAGGGCGGGAGTAGTAGTAGTAGCAGCAGTAGTTGTGGTAATTTCATTGAAGCGATGATGAGTAAGTACATGTCGCAGCAGTCGGCGGTGGTGACAAAGGAGAGAGCGAGGGGACGATGACTCTGGGTATGACTGGAATGAATGTATGATGCAGGTGATGATGACAATTACGGGCAATAGGTTGATGTTTACGATTATGGTGATGCTGATGGTTGTGATGATGGTGATTGTGATAGTGGTGGTGGTGGTGGTGGTGATAATGGTGATTCGGAGGAGGATGGGGGCGGCGATTAAGATGAGGGCGATGTGAGGAACACAATGCTGACGCATGTAATGATGATAGCATGGGTGTGGTGTGAATGTCATGCTTCCCCGTTCTTCTCATCCCCTCTCCTCCTCATTCCTCCTTCGCTTCGCTTTCGCTTCTTCTGCGCCTCCTCGTCTTCGCTCCGCCTCCCCCGATTCAGGAGCAGATAGGGTGCACCACCACCACCACGCTGCCATACGACTGCCACGCCGCGGTCGACAGATGGCAGGAAGCCTGGTCGTCTGGCAAGAAGGACGCCGACCGCCTCCTCTCCGCGAGGATGCAGCGGGATGAGGAATATTCGGAGGTGTATAAGTATGAGAAAGATGATGGTGTTGCTGTCGATGCTGGTGATGGTGATGACGGTGACGGTGATGACGGTGACGACGATGGCGATGATTGTGATGGTGATGAGGGTGATGATGCTGTTGATGATACTAGTGATGATGCTGATGATGATGATGATACTGCTGACGAGGAATGATACTGATGATGCTGATGCTGATGCTGATGCTGATGCTGATGCTGATGCTGCTGATGATGATGCTGGTGCTGTTGATGATGATGATGATGATGATGATGATGATGATGATGATGATGATGATGACGACGATGATGATGATGATGACGAGCATGATCATGATGATGATTATGCTGATTATGCTGATTATGATGATGATGGCGATGCTGCTGCTGCGGATTGTAGCAGGCGTGCAAATTTCGTGACCCAGGTTTAGCATGATGATTTCTTCTACTATGGCCCATGGGATAGGGCCAAGTGATTCGTATCGTACCCATTGTGGCTCAAGGGAAAACATTATGTTGTCTCTGCTGCTGCCACAGTTGGTAGCGGAGCCTGGCCCGGCCGAGGGTCATGGGCCGCGCGGCGCGCCTCTGAGAGGGGCAGCGTGCGCGCGACTCGCGCGCCTTCGTCTGGCGCTGGGCTCTGGCGAGCTAGGTGGGGCGGTCCACGGCGAATGCCTGGGGAGGACAACAACGGCGACGACGGCAGAGGCGCGCTGACCGAGGGCGCGCCGATCACCGCCAGCAAGGAGCAGCTGCGGGAGCTGGTGTCGGGGATAGTCCAGGAACCTATCAGCGCCGCCAGGGCGGACACCGGCGACCCGTGGCAGCCAGCGGCCCAACTGGCAGCCGAGAAGGCTGCAGCAGAGAAGGACAAGGCGACGGCAGAGGCAGACGACGGCCGCTGGTGGTCAGAGAGCAGATGGCACGACAAGGAGTCTTGGGACGACAAGAAGTCCTGGGACGAGAAGGCCGGCGGCTGGTGGGAGTCGCCCGGATCGAGCTGGAACGCATGGAGTGGCGGATTCAGCCGGTTCGGCAAGGGCGACTTCTCAAATCCACCAGCCTGGCCGGGATGGCAGTATCACGGGTAATGGAGAAAGGCACTCACGAGATGGAGCGCCAGCACTGACGTTCAGGTCTGGCGGAGGGCAGAGAAGTTCGGCTATTCGACTGGGGGGAGTACAAGGTAAGTTTGAAGATCTGAGCGAGGAGACCCTCGCCAGTCCGTCATGGATCGAGACAGTGCTGAAGCAGATGGATCTCATGATTGGAGAGCGTGAAGGAGATGAGCTACGACGTACGGGAAGGAAGGCGCTCTTCGAAGCAGTCCGAGATCAGAAGGATACCCTCACTCAATACGTGAGCCGGCGAGACGCAAAAGGCTATGCGGCTCTCCTCGAAGCTAAAGGGACTGATGCTGGAGGAGGGGGCGGGTCTGACTCGGCAAGGTATGCAAAATCTTCGCACTCTCACGTATGGGAATCTAGATTATCAGAGCGTCTCGTGGGCACTGAGACAGATGGATGCAGCTGGTTCTGAGCGTCTCCTGCCAGGAAAGTCTGGCACGACACTTTTGACAGCGCCGGTCCTGCCAGGGGATGGGGCCGAAGAGTCCGACCCGGCGGCCGGCTTTCAGCGCGTTCCTCCCTCCTCCTCCTTCTTTGGTGGTCGGTCGGAGGCTGAAGGTCTGGGCGAGGAGGGCGACCTCTACGACGAAGGCGAGGACGAGGACGACGTCGAGGACATCGAGGCGGTGCTTGCTGAATTGGCCGGTCAGGAGCTGTTCGAGCACCAGATTGAGGGCGCTCTGGCCGCTTTCGGATGTCAGAGCAAGCCGAATCAGCTGAAGTTGGCGGCCAAGGAGGACAGAGAATACTACGGAGCAAAGAGCAAGTCCGGGGCTGCGGGTTCCACGCAGGCGCCGCCCAAGCATCGGGCCAGCGGTCGAGGGCGGCCGAGGCCCGGAGGCAGGTGGCGAGGTGGCGGACGCGGAGGCGGTCGTCGGTTCAAGCAGAAGGAGCTCACTCTGGAGCAACTGATGAAGATCACGAAGTGCCGCATCTGTCACGAGAAGGGAAATGGGGCAGGGAATGTCCTAATCAAGGCAAGGTTAAGGGCAAGAACGAGCGGGGCCTCAGCTCCTGCGCGTTCACCAGAGCAGTCGGCAAGCCCATCGCCGCCGAGGCCCTGGCCCAGTGGAGGGGCGCCCAGCAGGGGATAGAGGAGATAGCGGAGACGTTCCTCGTGACGAAGCCCGCGCAGGGCTTGGTCGACCCGGGCGCCGGCAGCGACTTGGCGGGCCTGGACGTGCTCAACCGCGAGGCCAAGGCCTTGGCTGAGCTCGGCCTGAAGTACCGGGTCGTCCCGCCAGAGAGCACCGACGTCATCGGGCGACTCAGGGCGTGGGCGGACCGGCCCGAGTGATTGCGAGCGTGCTGTTTCCTTTGTGCCTAGGCGGGGTCCTAGGCATTAGAGACCGCAGTGCTTCTCGACGATGTTCCGCATGTTTTGAGCGTGAATTTGTAAGAGTTTCTCGGTTGCGCCATCGATCCCCCTAGGAATCTGATGCCGTCTGCGACGTTCAACCAGGGCATGCCCTTGACCAGACTCGGCTCGGGGCGCCGCATGGCGGACATAGTCCGACCTCTCTCGGACAGCATTGAGGTCCCCGAGTCAGCACTGCAGCGCTATCTTTTCATTTCAGCCTCGTCGTTCACCCTGCAGAGCGGCGAGAAGGCGCCTGACATGCTCTCGAGCGGAGAGCTCCAGCTGTGCATGCGGTTCCTCCTCTTCCTTCCCGACATCATCTGGGGCATCTTGGGAGTCGGTGGTTGGGCGGCTCTTGGGGCTGTCCGGAGAACGGGGAGGTCTAGCTATCTCGTCAGGCCGGCGCGGCTCGTGATGCGGGTCCTCGTGGGCCTCCCCCTGGTTTATACCGCTGCATCACTACGAAATTGATTTACCCAAGAATTGAAACGCCAAGTAAAATTTTACTTGATTTTTTGTAATTGCGCGGGTCATAGGGGGGTAGGCTGAGTGGACGGGTGCAGAGGCATTCCAATGTTCGACCCGTACGACACTGCGATAATGATACACCCGCCCAGCATGCGTAGCCAGTTCGGGGTCGGCTTCTGTTTTGCGTTGTCGGCCCTCGCCGCGCTCCCAGCTACAGGCCGCATGCGTCGCCACCACTGGTGCGCGGGTCGTGGAGCAGGACAAGAACTGTGAAAGGCGACTCAAAGGTGGACGAATCCTACCCACCCGCAATGTCGCGGAATCTGCGCCGCAGGTTCTGAATTGCAAGTGGCGGGGCCCGCCCGCAGACAACGTGAAACGCGACCACGACGAACGCGGTCGCCCACCGCGCAATCAAAGGTGGTGCCACCAGGAAATTTGGCCCACTAACGCGGCTAAGGCGCCCCAAGCCATAAGACGTCAAGCCATCATCCTTTCCCGGCATCCTTGGCTGCTGCCTCGTCCGTCCAAGGGTACCCTTGGCGGCGCATTCATCCTTGCCGTTTGGGGTTGAAGCCCGTTGCACGGCGGCGTCGCAGGGATGGGGGAGGCAAGGGTACCCTTGGGGATCCCTCCGCATCCTTGCCCATGTTCTCGTTTGGGCGGGCGCATCCCCGCGCGTTTCTTGCCGCGTAATGGCGTTGCACGGCCCCTCGGGCATCCTTGCAGATTTTTGGGTTGTCGCCTTCTCCCCGATCTTGGGTCAGTTTTGACCCGGCAACGGTATATCTTCATGTTCCCCACGCCCCCTTCTTTGCCTCCCCCCTCCTCCCCCGCGGGAGCTTGTCACCCGCTGCTCTTCTGAGGCGCCCTTGGCCCATGATGGCATCCAGATTCAAAAATGTACCATTGGCTTTCCTCAAGCGGTTTCCGTGGTGACACGTGTCACCTGCTTTTCTTCTGAAGATTCCCTGGCTCACGTTGGCGCCGAGAATCAAACGATTACGTTTGGTTTTCTCCAAGCGGTTTCCGCGGTGACACGTGTCGCCCGTTGTTTTTCTGAGGCTTCCTTGGATCATGGCGGCGTCCAGAATCAAAAATGCACCGTTGGCCATCCTCTAGCGGTTTCCTCGGTGACACGTGTCACGAGTTGCCTTTCTGAGGCTTCCTTGGTTCATGTTGGCGCCCAGTCAAAAATGCACAGTTGGTTTTCTCCATGGGGCTTCCGCCGTGGCACGTGCCATCCAGACGGTCACATCCAGTTCGTCATTTGATGTCGTGTTTGCCTGTCATACCTTTTCTCCCGTGACACTTTTCCACGCTAGTCGGCGGCGTGCGGTTGACAACTTTTCACTAAGTAACCTTTGTCGATTTTCCTGTTCCCTGCTCCTCCCCTTCCGCCAACGAGCAGCTCACCAGAAGAGATCTTATAACAAATTGTGCGTGCATGCTTTCCACGCCACGCTACCCCAGCCCATGTCGTACTCAACGGGATCCTGCCCTCCATTTTCGCTGGAGGCACTAGGTTCTATCACATCCAATTTTATTTAGACACTACGCTGGCTTCGTTTTATGCATATGTAGAGCGTTGAAAATTTACTCTGCACTAACGTGCCTTCCCGCGCCCTTTCCAACCCCTACTCCTACACACGCTGTGATCAAGGTCAACCGCATCTCTGCAACTATCCTGCGCCGTGCGATTCGTAGCATTAGCGTGGTCCGCAAACATACCCCGCAGCTCATCCCACCTCACCCTGGCATATTCAAACGCCAGCCAGACGCTATCCACGTGTAACGGTGGTGCACAGGGCGGCAAGACCGAGTTCGACGCGGGCGTCTCCTCAGGGTTCGACGCGTAGATTTCGTAACACACGCGGCCGCCATGGCGGCGTCCACGACGCAAATGTCACCGCGGTAGCACAGCGCAACTCAACGCCCAATCCGCATGCGCAGACCACGTGCACATTTCCTGCCCAATCTATCCAATGCCCG